CAGTAAGTAGAAAAAATTCACTATGCATTTACTTGAAAATGTGGCCCAGGAAAATGTTGCCATAGCTTTCTTTAACTATGAGGAACAAAAATAAATATGCTTTAAAATGGTTTCTGTTCTTTACCACTTCCACCTCCAATGATATAATGTAAAATTGAAAAGGAAAAATATAGCTAAATGTGCTATTTTCACACACATAGTTATGATATAGAAAATATGTATAAACATGCCGGCACGTACACAGCTGAATTCATCATAAAGTTGTGAGAAACCTTCTTATCCCAGAAGAGAATTCTGCTGGCGAGTTATTTCCTAGAAGAAAGTGGTAGTGCCTGGGAGTGCACCCTGGTGCCTTCTTCAAGGACAGGGATGTTTGCTTTGTGTGTGTGCACACACATGTGTGTGTGGTCCAGTGCGAGTGTGTGTGTGTTCACCGAGAAAGAGATTTGTGAAAAAGTCGCTTCTAACATGTGAGAGCTACATAAATCCTTGTTTTTCACCTTATGAAGGTGATTGATTTTCATTTTCAAAATATGTGACTTTTGAGGCATCTGTTTTGGGGGCAGACTTCTGTACAGCTGCAGCAGAGAGGATGCTTGTCATTAGCCAGTTGCTCAGTCACTGTCTCCATTTATAGTTGGGTTTTTTAAGTATTCCAAGTAAGAACGCTGAGTTTCTGCTGATCCTGAGTCATCAAATGAAAGCTTTATTTTTTTCTCTTTCATTCAATTCCACCTATGCTCACAGTTTTTAAGATGGATATGTTTTCTAGAAAAATCTGACCCTCTTAACTATTTATTTTACAGTTTCTTAATAAGTTTATTAATGAGAACACTGCATCTCTTCCTATTGGACACTATCGGGATCACCTTACTGAATAACAAGAAGTTCACCCTACCAAGACAAGAATATTCAAGTCGCTTAAATTACAAACATAAATTGCAAATCTTGCCCCTGAAAGACTTGTATTAAAAAAGGGTGAAGAAGATCCCTGTCTGGTGTGGCTCAGTGGATTGAGTGCCAACCTGTGAACCAAAGGGTCGCCAGTTCGATTCCCAGTCAAGGCACATATCTGGGTTGCAGGCCAGGTCCCCAGAAGGGGGCACAGAGAGGCAATCACACATTGATGTTTCTCTCCCTCTCCTTCTCCTTCCCTTCCCCTCTCTCCAAAACTAAATAAATAATTTAAAAATGGGAGGATAAAGAAACTCTCTTCAATAGCATCCTGTAACTTAACAGAACTGAATCTAGAATTGCAAAGTCCCTAGGAAACTGCAATGGTGACGAATGACACATGGGAGAGATACCTATAACAGTCACAATCCTATAAAAAATAATGGCACACTGAAACAAGCTCCTCTCTAGGAGTTAATTTATAAAGGAATTCTGTACATAGGCCCATTTGAGTATGGAGAAGCCTTAGGAATGGAACAGTAATCTGGGGCAGAGTCAGAATTGTCATCTCCTCTAGGCTCAGAGGGACCAGGAGAGAGAGCAGCTACTTGAACCAGGAAGGAGAGAGTGCTGTAGAGGAGAAGTCCTAGAGAGGACCAGCAACCCTCCTTGGGAACTGGAAACTTCACAGTCAGCTTGCCAGCAAACCTGTGTCCCTAGACTCTATTCAGTGCCAACAGGGGCATTATTGTTATCTTGGTTTTGACAATGATGCATTTGGCCATCCACCCATTCAATGATAAAAGCACAACCTAGTCACCGTGACAATAAAATCTATTTCTCATTTCTAAATTTTCCCTGGTTGGTGGTGATTTCCTATGTAGGTGACAACCACTGGAAATGAAATGTTAACCTAATGTCCCTGGGAAGGTTTTTCTCTTCATCGCTGGATCAATCTAGATCTCCAGAAAGCTCAGCCACCACGGCTAAATATCTGTGATGGTGGGGGGAAGAGAGCTGCACATTCACAGCCCTACGTCCACCTTCCAGGCAGGGAAGAGGAAAAGAGAAAAATGGGAAGGGATGGGGCTTATGTTAGACGAGCCCTAGTTTTCACAAAAATGTTTAGTGCACATCTCATTGGCCAGAACCATGTCATGTGGCAGCTTCTACTTACAAAAAAGTCTTGGGAAGTGTTTTAAGTAGGCACATTGCACCCCTAAACAAAATTGAAATTATTTGACTAGTGAAAAAGGGAAGTGTAATGATGAGGAAGCAGTTAGTAGCATCCTCTCTACGTGTCTACTATCTCTTGTGGCTTGGTGTGGACAAATGATAATAGAGTAATATAAAGTGTTGCATCCTGTCTTCCTATACATACTATAATTTGCCTGGAAGTTATCAAACAACAAAATTAGGGTGTGGTCACATATTCCTTATATTAATAAATTTTATGGAGATTAAAACTTTGTATCACTTGCATATTTGCCCATTCCTAATAGACGAATGCTTGAGGACAAAGTTTTGGATCTCCAAGTTTTCCCTAAGCCTTTACTTGTCTTCCATCATAATTATAGCCTCCCATATTTCAGAAGGAAGGCATTTTCACCTTTGTGTCTTAGGACATTCCTATGACATTCAGTAAATATATTTTTGTGTGTGATGCAAAGATAAGGTTATCTTTCAATTTATTTTTTTCAGTTATAGTTGACATTCAATATTATATTAGTGTACAGCACAGTGGTTAAACATTTATATAATTTACAAGTGACCCCCCAATAAGTCTAGTACCCATAAATTCTTTATGCTGTACTTTACATCCCCATGCCTATTTTTGGAAGTATCAATTTGTACTTCACCTTTTTTACTGAGACCCCCAGTTTCCCTCCCATCTAATATCCATCGATCTCTTCTCTGTATCTGAGTCCATTTCTGTTTTGTTCTTTAGATTCCACCTATAAGTGGAAACAGACTGTGTTTGTTTCTCAGTCTGATTCGTTTCGCTTAGCATAATACCAAGTAGCTCTGTTCATGTTTTTTGCATATGGTAGGATTTCATTATTTTTATGGCTTAGTAATATTCCATTGTGTAGTAAGAAATTCTGAGTTGAACAAATGAATGCAGCTGACCTCAGGAAGATATTAAAGGAGGAGGTTGCACTTGAGTTATCTTGGGTAAATTACTCATTGACAAGAATCTTTGATCTAAAATTTGCATTCTATTGGTTGTGCTGTTGTGTTTGTTTCTCTCAACCCCCCACCCCCTTTGTTTCTTTTTAATTCCCTCTGACCTGTCCTCCATCTTTCTTTCTTTTGCACTGGTGACTAAGTCTTTGGCTAGTTTGACTGAGAGCATGACATTCCATTTATTTTCTTTTTACATTAAAAAAAATTGCCAAATTTAATGTCATGAATCTTCCTCCCTATGCTTGTTAACAGTATTATAGTTTGTACTATTATATTTAAGGCTGTTTTTCCTCCTTTGAATGGTCTTTGCACCTTTGCCAAAAATTAATTTAACATGCATTCAAGGGTTTATTTCTGGATTCTCTATTCAATTCCATTGGTTTACTTTTCTCTTTTTTTTTTCTCTCTCTTTTTTTTTTTTTATTTAGTTACTTTTCAAGTACATTTTTTTAAATCTTTTCTCTCCCCCCCCCCCCGCCTGGTCTCCCCCCTCCCTCCCATTCCCCCCCCCCAGTCCTCATCTCTGTGTCTTTCATACTTGTTCCTCAAAATCCCTCCCCCTTTTTCCCCTTAAGTTCCCTTCCCTCTCCCCTCTGGTCGCTGCCCACTTGTTCTCTATTTCAGCGTCTTTGTTTTTATTCTCTTTGCTTGTTTGTTTTATTCTTTAGCTTCCTGTCAAAGGTGAGATCATATGGTATTTGTCCTTCAATGCCTGGCCTATTTCACTCAGCATAATGCTTTCCAGTTCCATCCATGTTGTTGCAAAAGGTAGTAGCTCCTTCTTTCTCTCTGCTGCATAAAATTCCATGGTGTATATGTACCACAATTTTTGGATCCATTCATTTACTGATGGGCACCTAGGTTGCTTCCAACTCTTGGCTATTGTAAATTGTGCTGCTATGAACATTGTGGTGCATAGGTTCTTTGAAATTGATGTTTTAGGATTCTTGGGGTATAATCCTAGCAGTGGAATTGCTGGGTCAAAAGGCAGGTCAATTTTTATTTTTCTGAGAAAATGCCATACTGTTTTCCATAATGGTTGTACCAGTCTACAATCCCACCAACAGTGAACTAAGGTCCCCTTTTCCCCACACCCTCTCCAACATTTGTTGTTTGTTGCTTTGTCTATTATAGCCATCCTGACTGGTGTAAAGTGGTATCTCATTGTGGTTTTAATTTGCATCTCTCTGATAGCTAACGATATTGAGCATCTCTTCATGTGTCTCTGGATATTCTGTATGTCCTCTTTAGAGAAGTGTCTGTTCAAGTCCTTTGGTTTACTTTTCTGTCTTTATGACACTACCACACTACTTTGATTATTATAGTTGTATAAATTTTGAGGTTGGGCATTTTGTAATCTCCAATTTTTCTTTTCTTTTTCAAGGTTTTTTTTTTTTTTTTGCAATTCAGAGTCTCTTGAAATTGCATATGAATTTTAGGGTGGATTTTTCTGTTTTTGCAAAAAAGGTGCCCTAGTGATTTTGAAAAGGATAGTACTAAATCTGCAGAGCACTCTAGGTATTATTAACATCTTAACTGTATTAAAATCTTTCAACCCATGGACACAAGTATCTTTCTATTTATATGTCTTCTTTAATTTATTTCAGCCACATTTTCCACTTTCCAGTGTACACGTCTTTCACTTTTTCAGTTAAACTTATTCCTAAGTATTTTTATCCTAATTGTATTATAAATGGAATTGTTTCCTTGATTTCTTTTTTGGATTGTTCATCGGTAGTACACAAAAACATAACTGTTTTTTGTGTTAGTCTCTGAAGTCTCAGAAAGCAGAAACCATGCCAGATTTGTATTTTGCAAAGTTAATACAAAAATAATAGTTGGCAGTTCGTAATTTAAAAAAATATTTTTCATTGGCAGTAATCTCTGTCCTTTTTTTTTCTGTCTCCCTTCCATTTTAGGGTTCTACTGGTGTTACAGCCTCTCCTCCAGTCTCCACCCCTGTCACAGGACACAAGAGAATGGTCATACCAAACCAGCCCCCACTAACAGCAACCAAAAAGTCGACCCTGAAACCACAGCCTGCCCCTCAGGCTGGACCCATCCCCGTGACTCCGATTGGAACACTGAAACCCCAGCCTCAGCCCGTCCCAGCCTCCTACACTACGGCATCCACCCCGTCGAGGCCTACCTTCAATGTGCAGGTGAAGTCAGCCCAGCCCAGCTCGCATTACATGGCTGCCCCTTCACCAGGACAGTTTTATGGCCCGGGGCCAGGGCACCAGAGCTATAACACTCAACCAGTGCCTGTGACTGGGCAGTGTCCACCTCCTCCAACACGGGGAGGCATGGATTACACATATATTCCACCACCAGGACTTCAGCCTGAGCCTGGGTATGGGTATGGTCCTAACCAAGGGCGCTATTATGAAGCCTATTGCCCAGTGGGGCCTGCGTATGGGGGCAAAAATGATTCTGATCCTGCCTATGGTCAACAAGGTCACCCCAATGCCTGGAAGCGGGAACAAGGGTACACTCCCTCTGGGCCAGGAAACCAGCACCCTGCTGGCATGTATCCGGTTGCTGGTCCCAAGAAGACATATATCACAGATCCTGTTCCAGCCCCCTCTGCCCCACCACTGCAACCAAAGGTAAGAAACTCATTAATACAATGATGGGAATAAAGGGCCGCCTGTTTAGCTTGCCTTTCCCGGAAAGCAGAGCCTAAGGCAAAAGTGTATATGTTGCTTTTATTACATTAGAAAGTAGGATTCCAAGGAAGCCTGAGTGCCATAGGAAAAGAGGGAGATCCTACTGGGGATATGGAGTCACGCTATGGATATGCATATTGTTTAGTACCAAGTGCATTTACATGTTCAGTCTTGAAAGATCATCTTCCAAAAGAGCGTATGAACTATAGCAGCTCAGGATAATCTTTTTGTGGTAGGAAAAGGGAAGATAATTTATCTTCTAGCTCTGTCTCTTCTTGGACCAAGGTTCTCTGTGAGTCAGAGACTTCCTCATGCCTAGACTTTGCATTTACTTGGGCACCAAATAAATCTGTAGCATCTCATGCCTCACAGGGACAGGGCATCAACACATCTGGAGGTGAGAGGTATGCAGGGCAGCCATGAGTCGAGCTGCTGTCAGGTAGGGTGTATGTGATGGTGGTTAGAACTCAAGCTAAGTTGGTCCCACAGTGGCTGCTAGGACATACGTGGCCAATAGTTCAGGGGACAGGTGAGGAGAAGGGCTGTAGGTGATGCAAACACCTTGTCTAGTTTCCTTTGGAAGAGGCTGCTGCAGTATAATGAAACTTGTTTATCACCCTTGTCAATCCACATTATTGACCCTCTAAGCAGAATCTTACCCTCTAGTCTTTAACCCTATTAGACAATTTTTAAAAGTTTTTGAGTTTTTCTCATTGTTTGATTTACTTGTAAGCGCGTATGTCTTTTAAATCAATGAATTCAGTTACTAACTTTTCAATAGATAATGATATTACACATGCCCACTCAGTTACAATTTGATTTTTCCGTGAGTATTTGAACTAGCATGATGTTTCCTTTTACCATGACAAGAGGAACCAAGGAGAATTACTTGGAAGGGGTGAGATGGATACACCATGCTGGTTTCCAGCCCTTGGGTTGGAACAAAGCTCTCCCTTCCTTTCATTTAAAGCTGTGAGAATCAGACATTAAACATAGTTAGAATATGTTATTTTTGAGAGATGAATTGGGTAAAAGGTCTCTATATATTTTAGTACAGTATATTTTTAACATATAGAAAGTCTATATACATCATTTAACACATTTGACATTGTCAGTGTACAGACACAATCACATTTTCAAGACTGTAATAGAAATCTGTCAGGTCCTTGCTCTGTGAGCAGTGTGTTTACTAAACCACTATTTTCAGAGGAAAGTATCAGCTCTATTACCAGTCCTCCAAAATGAATTTTGGGCTCCTTAGAGGAGAAGAAGCCTTCCAGAAAGTGGGGCACTCATGAATACCCACTATGGTAAACGGGGCCAAGCATGATCATTTTCCAACATAAAGTTTCCAGGTTTAAACATTGTGTTTTTGAAATGTTGCTTTTAGAAATCTTTTCTTTCCAAAATCTCTTTATGAAAATAAATGTTAGTAGGTTTATTTATTTGCTTGTTTTAAAGTTTGTCCAAAATAGCTAGTCTGTATATACGCACCCTTTGTTAACATTACAGTACATTTGCATTAGTCCTTCCAGCCTGCAAAGGAGCAATCCAGAAAAAAATTAGATCATTTTCCTTTACTTCACTTTGGTGCAAGTGCAGTAACTTCCCTCATGAATAGTTCAAAGCTTTGGTTGGGATAACTGACATTAACACCGAGCTCAAATAGCTGTGCAGTTTTGCTCCATCTGAAGCCTCCTGTTAGAATGGCTGCATGATGATCCTGTTGGAAAGAGAGGGACCCTGACTTATGTAAGGACCCTGGATCAGCCCACGTGGGGAAACAGATGTGAAACAGAGCAGAATGTCTAGGTGGAGGGAATAATCTTGTGAGAAGTACTGAGCCACTGAGGCACTGAGTTTCTTTTTTCCCAAATGTCACTGGGCATGTTGAATAGTCCCTCCTCATTTAACACGGAACTGACCCAGTGGTATAGGAAAACAGTTAGCACCCAGTGCAAGACCTGAATCTAACATGTTGGGTTCAGCCGCATCACTAACATTTGCTTTCCACCACCCTACTCAGGACGATGGAAGGAACTTTTATTAACCACTTACCGGAAAGCATGACACTTTATTTCCCTTCTTTTTGTAATTACTCATGATGATCTATTATATTGTTATGGATTCTGGATATTCAGTGAATTTGATGTCATTTAAAAAATGTTTTTGAAATATTTGTTCTTCAACAGTGTCATGTGTTTGAAAATCACATTGTGCAATTTAAAAATGAAAATCAAGCCTACATCATAGTGCAATTTAAAAGAATGTACACCTCTCTGCGATTAGTGAGGAGAGTGGTTCGGGGGTGATATTTAGCCATCTGTCAGTGTTTGGGGAAAAGGGAAAGTGGCTGATGAGGCTACAGATATGATCTGTGTGTGGTGGGGGGGGGGTGGTGAATGAAAGGACCAGCTTTTTCACAGTTAGTCTTTCAGCAGAACACTGCTGTACTCAACTGCACCTGTGCACAGAGGACCTTTTTGTCCCAATATTGAGTCTGCTTTGCTTAGTGATGTGACTACTGGCTTGAGAAATGAGCCCCTACGTTGAATCCCACTTCCTCCCGTGGCATTTCACTTACAGCTTGAGGAAAGCCTCTGGACCTCCTTATGTCACGCTTCTGGCCTCAGCAAGGTAGAACATCATCTTCTCTAATTAATTAATGATTGCAAATGGCTTGGAAATTTCCAAAGGTGGAATAATTGCCAAGTGAGGACTGTTTTTACTGGCTTTCCTTTATTTTCAATTTTTAGTCACTGATGGAAAACTTACCTTCATGCTTTAAAACAATGATCTTTTGTTACCTTGAGACATTCTGAGAAATTTGGCATTTAACCCATTAAGGAAAAAACAATTTAAATGAAAGAAGTAAATCTCCCCTGTACTCGAGATGAATTGCTTTAATTTTCCTACATCATAGTGCAATTTAAAAGAAGAGGAAAAAGGAAGGAAGCAGCAAAAAGAAAGAAAGAAAGAAAGAAAGAAAGAAAGAAAGAAAGAAAGAAAGAAAGAAAGAAAGAAAGAAAGAAAGAAAGAAAGAAAGAAAAAGAAAGAAGGAAGGAAAAGGAGAAGAGAACGAAGAAAGGAAGGAGATAAAATCGGAACCTGCAAGGCTGGGGGATCATGGTTATATTTGTGTTTCTATAATGTGCTGAACAGTGAATTTGCATGCTACAGTAGACCATAATGTGTTTCCTGTACCATCTGAGCTGAGTTCCTTGAAAAATATTGTTATAAGCAAGACTTTGTAAAGGAGAAATGTTCTCTTCCTACTGAAAATCCTCTTAAAGAAACAGTGGAAGCTTTCTTCTTTGCTGTTTTATAAAAGCTATCATCTGCATGTTGCTGTGTAGTTCACAGAACTCTTGTCCCATACCCCTGTACAGTGGGATGCGTGTTTTCTCTAATGTTCAGATAAAGCTAGTCATCACTCCAGAGTGGTAGGGCAGCTCTGGCATTCACTTGTCATGAACCTGATCTGTGTCATCTCCGGGCAGGGAAAGAGACAGCTGTTTGCCCCATACTGTGTGGAAGGCACTGAAGAAGCTGTCCATCCCAGGAAAGGTATAAAGGTCCACCTTGTGTGGGGGTTAGATTAAATTCTAAAATCTTCTATGATTAAAAATTTCCTTGAAAAATCCTTCAGGAAGGCGAGTCCTTGGAGAACAACAAACTACCTTTCAATAAACCTAGAAAAGTTATCTCTTTCAGAGTTAGAACAGATCACTTCTCTTCATTTAGTTTTTGAAACTAGGGATATTTAGTAGGCAGAGAAGAGAGTCAAGGTAATGAAATACCAGGGGTCAGTGTTAAAGGGCCCCTAAAACCTGTAATTTGTTAAGATTAAGAATATTTGAGAATATTTGAGAATATTGATGTAGTAGCATTGCAAACATTCAAGAAATATCAAAATGTTTCTTTTTTTATTGTGGAAAAGAGAAGGACATAGATTTTGATTTTGGGTGCATTGCAAAGAATTAGTGGTATTTTGGAGAGAACTGTCTTTATGTAACCCCTGAGCTGAAGCCCTCTCAATTCCAGAATTAGAGAAACAGAGGAAGAGATGTTAGGATGAAGAAATGTGGACATATGCCTCAGGGCAGGCGACAGTATCCAGACACGTGTGAAGAGAGGAATGCTTGAGAAAGCTGATGATAGTAACATTAGTTATTATTTTTGTGCAGAACTTTTCCATTTCCATAGTCCTTTGTGGACCTCACCAAATCCATGCAATTAAGCACAGAGGTTTTTCTCATACTGTTGAGGGTTCAGAAGCTCAATAATGAGAGTCATTCACCCACAATTGTATGTCAAATTTATGGGAGAGCCACAGCTCCAAGCCAGGTCTTCTGAAGATTGTCCTCATGCTTTCCCGTGGAAAACGGTGGATCTTGGCATCACCAGCCACTCGCTGTGGCTCCGCCATGGCCCGTGTCCCAAGCAGATGTCTGAGTGGTCTCAGGCAGCTGTGGTGCAGTGTCATGAGATCAACAGTTGGAGGGGAAGCACCCGTTAAATCCCTCCCAGGCACCCAGGCCTGAGGTCTTGGAGCTAGACTTCCTCTTCCTCATTACCCATGCATAATTTGTCCCAAGTTTCTTTCTAATTTTACAATATCTGAAATTTGCTTTCTTATCTCAGTCCCCCTGGAGGTTGCTCTAATTCAGTTGTCCTCATTTCTCACCTGCACCATTGGAATGTCCTCCTAATGGGTGTCTCCCCCTCTAATCTTTCTCCACACCTGTTCCTTCTACACAGGCTACCAGATTAATCTTTCTGCCATACAGTTCCGCCCTTGTCATTAATTGTCTTTAAAAAAAAAAAAAACTTTCAGAAGTTTCCAGCCACTTGTGGAGTGAATTGAAACTCTTGCCTGGATTTCTACTCTTATCTTACTTTTTTAAGCACCTGGGCTTCCAGCTAAGAATTTATATTCC